AATCTCCTTGCTTCTCCCTATGTACATGGGAAGTCACATCTGAGGATCCCTTCAGTTAGGCTGGGATTTAACAACACAACATGGCAAAAAGTAACAGATACAACTAGCAGTTGACCAGTTGTCTGGTGGTTTCCCTCTTTAACAAACCAGCTGGCTAAATGCAGAAATCCACTGGAGAACTCCCTAAACGATGGTGGTGCCACAAGCTGAACAGAACCAAAATCTCTGATTCTTTACTTGGAGCGGGAGGACCAGGAATATTTGCTTTGGGCCTTCCAGGGGTGAGAAATAAGCTCTGGGTTAATCCACCCAGATTTTGGGGTTGTTACATTAGCTAGCATTCGTATGCCAATGTACATTTATGTATTCTGAGATATTCCATGATATATATATATAAGCAATTACCAGTCCTCTGTCAATGGACATGCAGATTGTTTAGCTTTTCCCTATTATAACAATGCTACAACAAACATCCCAATGAAGTTGGATTTTAGACACATTAAACGTTTTGAGAGACAGTGTGTGACATGCAGCAGGCAACCAGGGGTCTGTTCCACCTAATGAGACATCTCTCAAGTTTGCTCATTCAGTTTGAGTTCATCAGGTTGGCATGATGTGAGCATGGGTCACATTGGAAGCTACTTTCCTGGCTCAGAATCCAACTTGATGCTGAGACTCTACTTTCTATGCAGACTGATTTTGTCTTCCCCTACAATAACCTTTACATCTACTCCTTAGAGGCTCTAAGCACCTGTCATCTTAGTCATTCATTTTTGGAGTATGCCAAGATGTCAGATTTTCATCAAGCTCTAGAGGTCCTACTAAGTGCAAATTTCCTTTACTTCCTCTGTGTATTTAATCAACATCTTGCCTGAAAATGTGCCTGTGTGGCATAGTAATATGGCAGGAAGCACACCTATATGAGATGGCTGTTGTCCACTCTTACGTATCAGTGATGACACACTACATGTGACATGTGATAAGGAATAGATGGGGGGAAGATTATAGCAGTTTAGAATTGGTTCTGGCACTAACCTGGAATTGCTGAGCAAATCAGCTCCTAAGAGACATCAAATTGTGCTTTTTTTTTATATTGAGGTTTCTCACAGAGAGTAGGCACTGCTTCCTAAACTTCAGAAACTTTTACATTAAAGAAACCAATAAATTTGAATTTTTACAGCTATGATGGTCACTTCAGTGTTATTATTAGTCTTGAAATTGGTCTTTATTCCTCTACCTTGCAGGTACCAAAAGCAAAGCATAAAGCAGGTGAGTTACTTAAGGGCAATAAAAAAAAGGGGACACATGACTATTCTTTCCCTCTGGGCTTCTCAGAGCAAACAGCAATTCTCAACTTTTGGCTTTACACGCTGTAAGAGAGGCTGGCTCTTCAACTTTGGGCCCATTCTGTAATTTGCCTTCAGAAAGCTCTAGTGCGAGGAGACTGTGTATCACGCCCAAGGACATTCTTTGACTTGAGGGGCATGCTTTCCCCAGCACTAAGCTGGGTAGCAGTGCAGGAGCATTAACACTCAACAGAGGAAAAGGAATTGGTAGGCAAATAGCTCAACTCTGAGAGTGTTCTAGTTTCTCAGCTGATTCATAGCAGAACTGAGATCATGCATAGAGCCCCACATACCCCATCATTAACGCATCCCTTAATGACATTCCTTCTCTGCTGTCTCACTTCCCCACTCTTATAGGGTGATCACCTTTAAATAAACTATTTGCATCCAAATCCTGTTTCAGAGTCATTTGGGAGGAAACCAAACTAAGGCAAGAACTCCTTTGAAATGTGAAGAAAAACAAAGTACCGCTCTTCAGGAAAATGTCATACTTTCAAGAAACCCAGGTAGGATTTGTTGAAATTCTGATATTAAGGGCAGGGTTCCAGAATCACCTTACTTCCCTTTCCACTCACCCCTTAGAAGATTACTGAGGAATTTGTATACAAGGACCTAAATGGAGTGAAAGTGTGACTTTATTAACAGTAAGTGTCTAAAACCTTCTCCTACCCTGTTTAAAATACCCTTTTCCTGGCTGGCTTCTGCTCAGTTTTGTCTAGAAGTCTTCTCCAAATTCCCTAAATAGTCTCTATCACAGTATATTTGCCCTTTTCTGCATGACATTTTGTAATATAATCACTTACCTATGTATTTGCCTAATTGTTTACTGCTCTCTACAAGAAAATACTCTCCATGAAAACAGGAACAAAGTCATTTTGGTTACCACTCTATACCCAGTGTTGATGACAATTTCTGCAATGCAAGATACTACATAAGCTGAGAAAGCAGTTGAGGTTGCAAACGGGCATCACTTTCTTAACTCATTAAAAGCACTGGACCTTAATGTCTAAATAAAATAACCAGATCTGCAGACCAGGTTCTGACTCAACTATCAAGCTATGAGTATGGAGCAAGTAGAAGATAATTCATTAATGAAAGCAAGTGCCCCTCTCTAGGAGTCTGGGCCAATTAGCATCATGAATTTTCACCATTAGTTTACTGAGGAAGGGTAAAAGTAGTAGTAGGAAGTTGAAACCACAATCTCACCTAGGACATACTGTTCCACACATTATTCCCAGGGAGCAAAAACCAAAACAAAAACCTTCTGAAGTTTGGCCATGGACCACACAAGCCAATAACCCCAGGATAAAGAATCTCTGATTTATAGCTCTTCCTACTGCTAACATCTGAGATTTCTGATCTTTACCATCAGATTTAGTGCCTCTCTGATATATTTGATCCCATCTTCTCTTTTCCCTGCCAAAAAGAAAAAGGGAGTATACGCAGTAAAGTTGTCACTAGTAGTAGCTGAAAGCAATCTTTAAAGCAAGTCCTGTGCTGTGCTTTCAGACTGGTACCTTGTCATCTTTGCTCTGACTGCAATATTCAATTATCCTTTCAACTCCTGTTGAAAGCATGTTGGAGGGCCTGGTACAGATGTATGTTACCTCTGTGAGAGGTTCTCTAATCCCACCAAACAGATGGAAACCTATTTACAGGTCCATTCAGGCAGCTCCTGCTCTGGTTTCATGGGCAGCGTGTTACAGGGCAGAATGAGGGGCAGCCCAGGACCCTCAAACTTGTCTGCTCTAAAATGGGTTCTGCCGCCCATCACCTACAAGCAAACATACTTAGTGCCTAAATCTTTCATTAGAAAAGAAGTGTAGAACAATTGGTGTGCAGTGGAAAGCAAAGACTACATTGGGTTGTTGGAAAAGTCATGGTGTAGAAAAAAATGTCATGGTTTTCCCCACAGCCCAGTAACTAAAACTTTCCCCATGAAACACCCACTTAGCCATCCCCTCGTAGGTAATGCCAGCCAGAGCTGGCCCAAAACTTGCCGTAATTCTAAAGCATCTGCTGGTGGGGAGCCTGAGGAAAGGGGCAGAAGGGGTCAGTCAAGGCTGGAAGGAAAGGGCCAAAATCAAAATACATGTCACGCTAAAGGCTGCCATGAGAGGCCACCAACAGGTCTTCTCACCCTCCGCTCCGCCTCTTTCAAGTGTCTCCTTCCCTGTCCCCCAAGTCCCTGGTACTTGTCCAAAGCTGAGCGGCATGCATAGCTTGTTCACGTGCCTCTTTGTTCCATATGCCTCTCCAGGTCTTCTCCATCTCCCTAAAGTTCTCAGTCTTTTTTAGCTTCAACTCCCCTCCTAGATCTACTGTTCTTTAAGGTGGGGCAGAACCTCCCCATTCTCTGGGGGTTACAAGTGGCCCCCCACTTCTGAGATCAGCGGGAGGCTTCCAGTGCCTGGCAAGGTTTTCTTAAACGTGTCATCCATTACTATTGGTCTGAAAGACGTTCAGCTGGGAATAGTTGCACACTTGACTCCATCATGTTGCTGTCTTTCCCCCATTTTTATCAAGTACATGAGATGCAATTTTCAACTCAGTAATTTCCTCTTGAACGTCAGTGGACAACCTGCGAAAGCTCAGTGAGCTTATACAGAAGTCACATGACCGCAAAAGGCGAGGGTCAAATCTCTCTCGTTTAGTAAACCCGCAACATTTCCTGCACCAAAGCAGCCGTTCGTTTGCGCTCCACATCCTAGTTGAGCCTCTGTCCAATCGGGTTACAGAAGCGGCCGCGACCGGCGCTGCAACTTCCGCCTTGAAAAAGTGTGGTCACGCGGCGAGCTTCCGGTTCCGTAACCCAAGGCCTTTTGCCCCAGTTGGCAGGAGTCCGCACCCCAAGGGTACCCCACCCGGCAGCTTCCCGGGCTCCTCCACACCCTGCGGTGCCGGTTACACGTCTCGAGTGTGTCACGCTGTGACGTCACTCTGAGGAAAAGGGCAAAGTGAGCCGGGTACTGGCAACTGAAGGCCTGGAGCTCTAGCGCGCAGGAGCACGCCGCAAGCACGGAGGCGGGCCTAGCTTCTGACGGGCGTCTCCGTCCACCCGTTGTCTTTCTGATGCCCTCTCAAATAAACCAATGAATGCGACGGTGGCGCCGGCAACGTGCTCCAGCCACGAGAAGTGGCTCCGCCCCCCCACTCGGCCGCCATGCTTAGTGTGGCTGCCGTCTTTGTGCCGCTTTCAGGTCTTCCCTGGCTTTGCAGCGCGATAGCGGAACTCCTTCCAGGGCATTCCCTCCCTTCCAACGTCAACCTCCACCTCTTTGAGTTTCTTGCTAGCAGCCTATCCAGACACACTTAAGATGGCGGTGGGAGGCGGGGCCACGACGGGGCGTGCCCGGCGCGGTGACGTCAGCGCGCTGCGTGTCGGCAGGTGGAGGGAGAAGGGAAAGTTTGGCCCGTGCGTGGGGCTGGGGTGGAGGGCGGGACAGAGGGGCTGGGTCCGGGCGAATCTTCTGTAGCTGCTGCAGCGGAGGCCGAGGCCAGGACCTGGGCCGGGCCGGAGCGTGCCGGACGCGGAGGCGCAGAAGACGAGATTCACCGTAGCTGCGATCTCCTGCCGCTCTGTCGTGCGGTGACCCCGTGCCCACACGCCTTCCGACCCTTGGCTGTTCGAAGGGGTTGGTGGGGGCGCGGCGGCGTCGGCGGCGGCTGGTGGGGGTGGGGAAGGGTGCGGCGAGGAGACGGGAGAGGTCAGCGAGTTTGAGGGAGGATCGAGAGTCGTGCCGCCGTCATGTCCGAAGACTCGAGCGCCCTGCCCTGGTCCATCAACAGAGACGATTACGAGCTGCAGGAGGTGATCGGTGAGAGCCGGTGCCGCGGAGGGGGGAGGCGCTGCCCTGGGCGGACGGTCACACGCGGGAACGTGGGGAGCCGCGGAAGCTGGGGAGCGCAGGACACACAGGCATTCGTGGGCGCTAGTGGGCCGGGGATTTGTGGGGCGCGTGGGCGAGGCTCTGGTTTGTGCATCGCGAGTGAGGCGGGGAGGGGATTTTGAGGGGCGCGCCTGTAAGGTGGGGTAGGCTGGGGTTAAAGGAGCTCACGAGAGACTTGTGCAATGACAGATGATAGAACCTGAGCGACAGATGCTTCGGGAGAGAAAGGCAGGTGCAGGCGTGGGGCAGGCCTTTATGGGGCTGTGCGAGACATGAGATACTGAAGTTAGGGGCATATAGCCGCCCTTTCGTTCCTTCATTCCCCGCTTCCGAGCGAGAACCCGAGTGCTCACGAAGTGCCAGACACTGCAGGGGTGGAATTGAGGCTCGCTCCGGTTGAAGCGGTAGGTAACGCTCCGGAGCAATGAAGACACAACTTCCGATTGCCTGAATCTGACTTTTGGTGAAGGGGGTGGACATGAAATAAGGAGACAAAAACAGAATTACAGGTTTTGTCCAGTACTAGGAAGGAAATAAACAAGATGTTTTGATGGAGAAATACCCGGTCATCTAATTACGGTGATTACATGAAAAAGTGTTTTCTTGAGGCATTGAAATCCAGTTGAGCACCGAAGGGCGAGGAGTCTTAAGGGCATAGGGAAGATTTTTCCTACTCAGGGGTGAGGAATGTAAAGGCCCCGAGGAAGGTAAGAACCTGACGTGTTTTAGGACCGAAGGAGAGTGACTAGGACTGAGAAGTAAGGGTGGGGCCATATCTTAGGAACCTTTTCTTGGTAAGGATTTTGGAATATTTTTCGTGTTGTGGGAGGGCTTCCAGTGGGGCAAGACATGAGATGATGGATCTGGCTGCCGTGTGTGTAGTGATTGTGAAGAGAGTTAGGAGACCAAAACTTGCACAAATGTGGGTAGTAATTCTCAGAGAGGCACAGTCTTTGGGAAAGGGTGGGATTAGGACTGAAGGGAGTATTTGTGGGTAATTACAACAGTGACCTTAGAAATCTAAAGGGGGTTGGGTAGCCAAAGGAAAGTTCAATCCAGCTGACATGAGCAGATCCCTGTGTATTGGAAAAAAGAGATTGTCTACTTTGCTAGATCAGCATCTTGTCCTAAAATTAATTTATAGCAAAGACTGGTTGAAAGGCCATAGCTACTTTGAGGTATTTATTGCACTGTGCCTGTGGTTTAGAGAAGCTGTTTCAATGACTTGATCTTCTTTTAAGATAAGTCTGACTTAAGTTTTATCTGAAAGACAGCACATCTTTTTCCTTAAGCCACTTCTCAGGCCTGTGTCCTTGGTACATGATGGGAATCTGACATGTCCTGCTTGGTTCTGAAGGCGCCTAGTTAGGTCTCTGTTTTGATTGATTGCTTCTGGGTCCTTCAGTCAGTTTCATGTTGAAAGTGCTGAAGTAGCAGATTGCAAAATGATGTCCAAAAAGTAAAGAATGATATTAGGGGTCCCTATGATCAATTTAGAAGAGTAATTTTGTTTTCCATTCTTGTGAAGTGTACATCTTTCTAGGGTAAAGGAGATGGTTGTCGTTATATCTTTGCTATTAAAATGGTATAGACTTAGAATTGCAAGGGCTAGAGATTTAAACAGATTTAATTTCATTTGGTGTCATCAGACCATTAGGGTATCTCTGAGTAAAGGGAGTCTCAGAGTGGTTCAATATAGGTTTGGATTTGGTCACATTTTAAAAGACAGCTTTATTGAGGTATAGCTTAATGAAATTCACCCATTTAAAGTATAACATTCAGTGACTTTTGGAAAATTCACTATGGTGTGCCCCAATCAGCACAACCCAGATTTAGAATATTTCCATCACCCCCATGAGATCCTTTGTGTCTGTTTATAGTTAATTCCCGTTCCCAACCTTCCCTAGGCCACCACAAATCTGTCTTTATAGATTTGTCCTTTCTGGACATTTCATATTAATGGGATAATATAACATGCAGTCTTCTGGGTTTGGCTTCTCCTGCTTTAGCATTTTTTAAAATAATGTTATTGAAATATAATTTACATACCATAAAATCCACCTGTTTTAAGTGTACAATTCCACTTTTTTTTTTGTAAATTTGCAGAGTTGTTGAATCATCACCACAGCCCAATTTTAGAACATTTCCATCATTCCCAAAAGATGCTTCATGTCCATTTGCAACCATTCCCTGTTCCCATTCCCTGCCACAGGCAACCACAGATCTACTTGTTTCTTTATAGAGTTGCCTTCTCGGGACATTTCATATAATTGTGTAGTAAGTGGTCCTTTCTGTTCGGTTTCTTTTACTTAGTATAATGGACTTGGAGTTTCATCCATGTTCTAGCCAGTATCAGTGTGTTATTCCTTTCAGTTGGATACCAACTGGACGCTGGTTGTTTTCTACTATTTGGCTGTTTGGAGTAATGCTGCTTTGTGCATTCATTTCACATCTAAGTGTGAACATGGTTTATTTTTCTTGTATCTAAACTCAGGACTGAAAATTCTGGGTCACATTTTCAAAGTGACTATAGCATTTTACATTTCCACTAGCCATGCATGAGAGTTCCTGTTTCTCTGCATCCTTGACAACATTTGTCTTTCTTTTCTGTTGTAGCTATCCTATGGGGTGTGGCTTGGTATCATTATGGTTTTGTTTTGCATTTCCCTGATGACTAATGATGCTTGATTAGCCCCTTATATATTTTCTTTGGCGAAATGTTTATTCAAATATTTTGTCCATTTCAGTTGCCCACTGGGTTGCTTTCTTACTGAGTTCCTGGTATTCTTGTGTATATATTTATCTGGATATGACTCCTCCCTCTGATTCATGATTTCATAGATTTTTACCAAGTCTGCAACTTGTCTTTTCATTTTCTTGATGGCATATTTCAAAGTACAGATGTTTTAAGTTTTGATAAATAACAGTTTTTCTTTTACTGGTAGTGCTTATGGTGTTGAATCTAGAAAATTGATACTAACTCAGCATCATAAAAGATTTTTTTCCCCTTTGTTTTCTCATAAGTTACAATTCTAGCTCTTACATTTAAGCTTTTGGTTTGTTTTTAGTTTTCAGTGTATAGTATGAGGTAGGGTGATCTCCATTATGTTAGACACTGAAAGGTAAAATGATTGTCAAAAAGTCATAAAGCTAATTAGTGAGAGAGAGCCAGGATATCTGATTCTCCTGTTTTCTAATTAGGGATCTTCCTTCCTTCATCTACATTTGATTGATTTTTAAAATTTTAATTATAAAATGAAAGGTGGTGGTCACTGTCTGACCGATTAAGGGAAGTATCTGTACAATTAAAAAATATGATAGGAGTAGATATTTATAGGTAACCCTCTTGAATGTAGTTAATCTGTTCTTAAATTTGTTCTCTTTTGATATCCTGTTTTGCATTTATAAAAAGTTGTCCTTCTGAGTGGTAAGTTGTTTGAAAATTCCTAACATCCTTCCAGCCCACTCCTCACCTCATCCTCCCAACAAAGAGCAGCCTTTCCTTGAGTTCCATAGCTGGTACAAATGGCTCAATAAAGCAGTGTATTCTTCTTTTCACTTTGCTTCCTTACTGAAGTGTTTGTAATACAGTATTTTGTAAAAAGTTGTACTTTTCAAAATGAATCTTTGGTGATTTCTTTACATTACAATCAGGTTTTCCAGGAAACAAGTGATTGGAATCTAGGGGAAAAGGTTTGGGGATCATTTGAATGTGCTGTTTTCAAGGGATTATATTTTAAGGAAATGGTATTAATGATGTCTTCTTTCTTTTCAAAACACATAGCTAATTCTTTTTCACATATGCTACATAGTACTGTAATATGTGTAGGTTAATTGTTTCCCACATCTGCTTATTCTCTCTGACAAAATCCTACAAAGAAAAGAAATTACAAATTCAAGAAGACTTCTTTTTGGAAAATGTCTTTTAAAAAAAAAAAGTTTGTATGGCTATTGTCAAGTGCTTCTGAAAAAAATAAGAGGTAGCAAAAATTAGATTACATATGGTCCAGCAACTCGCCATTTCATCTAATGAATAGTAGTAAAGATCATTTTCTGTCCTCATCACAATTTATGTGTTTTATCACAAAGAAAAAAGGCTTATTACTATGTGTGGGAATGGATATTAACTAGACTTATCGTGGTGATCATTTAGCCATTCACACAAATGCTGAACCACTATGTTGCACACCCAAACCAACACAATGCTTTATACCAACTATACTGCGACAATAGATCAATTCCTATGAAAACATGCCGACTGTTCTTGGAAGGCTAGATCTCAAAATGTTCACGAAGTAGCATAAAAATATTTCCCCCTTTCTAAAGGAAATATGGGGTTTGGTCTTTTTGCTCATACCTTAATCTGAAGAAAAAGTCTTTTTAGACCATAGTTTGAATGAGAATTGTATCATCTTAATCAAGCTTGGACAATATTAAGTTCTTTGTGACTGTATCGTTAATATAGATGTTAGTGTTATTGTCACTATTGATTACTCATCCAGTTAGTGTTTTTGAACTCTTTCCTAATGTTACGGTTGAATTTCTGAATAGTTGTTGTACTGTATTTGCTCTCTGTTGAAGCAACTGTAAGAGTATGGGCTTTGGTGTTAGACTGATCTCAATTCAAATGTTGGTTTTACGTCTTAGCACCTATGTGTTCTTGGGCAATTTATATTACTAGTTTTAGTGTCAAGCTTTTTGTCTGTGAAATAGGCATAAGGTACCAGTATCATTGGGACTTTTATGCAGATTAACTATAATTGTAGAAAGTGTTTAATTTGGGGGCCTCCCTGGTGGCGCAGTGTTAAAGCACATCACTATGAAGCTATCTATCCACAGCCACTGCAGCAAGAGTTCCATCCCAGCCAGGAAGCTACCCATATGACACAGAAGATCTCTCCTATCTCATCTGCTGCTCCCCTCAGCAG